AGCGCGGGGTAAGTAGGGGCGCAGGGTGAGTGGGGTGCAGGGGGCGCGGGGTGAGCGGGAGAACTGGGGGTCGCAGGGTGAGCGGAGCGCAGGGTGAGAGGCGGCCGCGGGGCGAGCCGGGGCTCAGGGGGTGCAGGACGATCGGGGGTACTAGGGGTCACGGGTTCCGAAGGGCGGAGGGCGCAGGATGGGAGGGGCGGGAGAGGCGGGACAAGCAAGTGTTGAGAGGCGGCAGGTGCCCGGATGGGGCGGCTGCGTGGGGGTCCGCTCGAGGAGGGGCGCGACAACCCTGTACCCCAGCCCGGGGACCCAAACTCAGACCCGAAGTCCCCGCCCCCGCTAGGCCCGTCCGGGAGCGCTGTCCCAGGCCTGCAGCCCACGTGCGGATCCGTTCCGGATCCGGGAAAGGGTCGTCGCGCTCAGTGACGACTGAAAGCTTTTTCTTCCCGCTAATAATTTGTGTCAGTGCAGGTAATGTATCTCCCGGCAGCCTCTGGGGCGGGGTGGGAACGGATTCCAGTGGCAAACAGGGAGGCCCAATGACTGGACGGATAGGCAGGAAACCAGGAGGCCTGAAATACCTACAAGGTGTCTACGTGATCTCTGGCTAGAAATCTCTTGCCTGGATTGTTGCAATAGTTTCCTGAGGACCCAGCCTCGGCTGTGCCCCCTCACCCCACCCCACCCCACCCCAAACCTCTTCTCTGCACCTCAGCAGCTGGTGTTCCTTGAAGTCACAAGCAGACCCTCTCCTGCTGTGACCTCCCCCTGGCTCCCGGTCTCATCAGAACCCTGGAAACTGGACTAGAGCCCACAGCCAGGGTCCCTCGCTCTCCACTGTGGCCACACGGGCTTCCTTGCTGTTTCTGGGAACAGACAAGTAACCACACTGGCCTCAGGCCTGTCTTTGCACTGCCTGTTTCTTCCCAAGAGCTCCTGCCCTCATACCTGCATGGATTGATCCCTCCTTTATCTTGCACTTCTTCCAGTGCCAGAAATCAGAGCATCCCACCACCACGTCTAGCTGATTTTGTTTTAGGATGTTTTGTGGAGAGGAGGTCTCACTATGTTGCCCAGGTTATTCTCAAACTCCTGTCCTCAAGCAATCCTCCTGCCTCAGCCTCCCAAAGTGCTAGGATTACGGTTGTGAGCCACAGTGCCTGGCCTGCCCATGTTTTGTTTACTACTAAAAAGGTCTTGCCTGGTGGAAGCTAACAGAGACACTCTCTACTGTCACTGAGGAAGTTAGAATCTTGGGCAGATTGTGCTCTTTTCCTTCAGTTTGCTTACTACCTGAACATCTAAATTTTAGTCAGATACTAGTTGGATGCATGCTCTATGTGAAGCCTTGTGGGAACCCAGATGGGGGCTCCGACCACAGGGGGCTTGGAGTTCACTGGAAGGAATGGAGGTACAGCTGAAGTAATTTCTGGGCATTAGTGAGATAAACAAATGCCATTTGTTAGGGACGGTGATGGAGACTGACTTTTTAGGAGGCATTGAACCTGCTCTGCAAAGAGCTAACTGATTAGTTAAAGAGCAGTCAGGGCTGTGATGAGGGTGGGTACAGTGGAGGGCAGCCCCTGCCAGCTATTAGCTGCCTCTTAGCATCCAAGAAGGCTGGGTTGATCCTATAGTTGAATGGAGACTGTTGGGTAGACAGAGGATGCAGATGTCACATTACAAGTTTAGTCGGGGAGGGGGGACCTGGAGATTCTATGATTCATTCATTATTGAGCCCTATTATACGTCAGGTCCCTTCCCTCTTGTAATTCATGGTCTATTTTGGAAAACAAGTAAATGAAATAAGCAATTTTATCTTCTTGTTTTTAAATTCACTTATTATGTATTTATTTTCGTAGAGACAGGGTCTGGCTATATTGTCCAGGCTGGTTTCTGACTCCTGACTTCAAGCGATCCTCCTGTCTCTACCTCCGAAGACGCTAGGATTTCAGGTGTGAACCTCTGCAGCCCAGCCAATTAGCCATTTCAATAAAGGGGACAAAAGCCAGGAAAGAGTGTCTGGGACTTTGAGCTGGGATCTGTAGAAAGTAGGAGGTGATCAGGCAAAGGCAGCAAAGGGGCAGAGCATTTCAGGAGGGAGCAGGTTGGAGAGGCCGTGGGGAGTTCAGGAAAGAGTCCCTGGTGGAGGCCCACTTTGAGAAGCGCCATGGTGTACATGGAATTTCAAGGTGCGCACCTGGAGGTGATTACTAGGGAAGTGAGTGAGGGTGGAGAAAGGGAAATCTAAGGACCCCGGGACACAGCACTCTCTAGAAGAAAGGAGGTGAAAGAGCACTGGGAAGGAGTCAAAGGCTAGTAGCTTATGAGAATGGAAGAAACCCGGGAGGGTTGGCTGTCCCAGAAGGCCACGCTAAGAAAGGGGAAGAGGGAGACCGGGAGGAAAAGCCATGTCAAATGCCACTCGTGGGTCATGTGGCAAGGACTGAAGGCTGGAGACACTTTGGTGGCTCCTCAAAAGGTTAAACCTAGAATTATCATAGGATTCAGCTCCACATCTAGGTATATACCCTATTTGAAATATATTTGAAAGGAGGGAGTTATTAATATCTTTCAGGTGAGTGTCTCACTTTTTTGCCCAGCCTGGAGTACACTGGCATGATCATGGTTCACCACAGCCTTCATCTCCTGGGTCAAGCAATCCTTCTGCCTCAACCTCCCGAATAGCTTGGACTACTGGTGTGCCACCAAACCTGGATAATTCTTTTATTTGCTTTATTGTTTGTAGAGATGTGATCTCGCTATGTTTCCGAGGCTGGTCTCAAACTCCTGAACTCAAACAGTCTTCCCTCCTCGGCCTCCCAAAGTACTGGGATTACAGGCGTGAGCCACTGTGCCTGGCTGAAAGTGGAGACATAAACAGATATTATGCATCAGTGTCGATTTCAGCATTCTTCACAATAGTAATTCAATCATCCTAAAACTGATTTCTGCAAAATTCAGAGGGCTGATTTTTGGAATTTCATAGAGGAATCTATTTCGATTCAGGTAAATCCTTCATGACTTTAAATTTCACTTGTCAAATCTTCTCAACCTTTTTTTTTTTCAATGTACAAGATTGTAATTCTCCGCCTGCAGCCTTCACACCATCTTAAGTAGGTGGACAGACTTGTCTTTGACACTATGGAAGCAGAGCAGCGCTAAGGAGAAGGGTCTTCTTTCACTGGCCAGTTGAGTTTTGAAAGCAGAAAATCTTGGAAAAATTGACTTTGTTGTGCAGTTTATTAAAGAGAAAGGAAGCTTCTGAAAAAAAGTCTCTGAATATATGTGAGCCTGAGATGGGTGGCTTAAAGTAGGGTCTCCTTACCCCCTTATGTCTCCTAAACTGCATTGAGAAACTCAAATTAAGTATGTTCTGGTGGGGTGCAGTGACTCACACCTGTGATCTCAGCACTTTGGGAGGCCAAGGTGGGAGGGTCAGTTGAGGCCAGGAGTTTGACACCAGCTTGGGCAATATAGCAAGACCTCATCTCTACAAACAATTAAAAAAAAAAAATCTAAGTGTGGTGGCTTGCACCTATAGACCCAACAATTCAGGAGGCTGATACAGGAGGATCACTTGGGCCCAGGAATTGGAGGCTGCAGTGAGCTGTGGTTGTACCACTACACTCCAGCCTGGCCAACAGAGTGAGACCCTGACTCAATACATAAACGAATAAGTAAATAAATAAAATTCTGTATCACTCATTCAAATATCTCTTCCATTGTAGGTTACTGGAAGAAAAAATGGCCAGTAATCTTTCCCCAGGTTTCTTCATGGAAGAACTAAATAAATATCGTCAGACACATGGAGTAACAGTTACATATCGTGAAGTGACTAAGCGTGGACCTCAAAATGACTTACGGTAAATTGCTATGAAAAAGACAAGGGGGCCGGGCATGGTGGCTCAAGCCTGTCATCCCAGCACTTTGGGAGGCTGAGGTGAGGGGATTGCCTGAGCCCACGGGTTCGAGAACAGGCTGGGCAACTTGGCAAGTCCTCATCTCTATAGTAAATAAAAAAATTAGCCAGGCGTGGTAGTGCATGCCTGTAGTTCCCACTACTTGGAAGGCTGAGGTGGAAGGATCACCTGAGCCCAGCAGGTTGAGGCTGCAGTGGCAGTGAGTGTGCCACTGCACTCCAGCCTGGGCAATAGAGTTAGACTCCGACTCAAAAAAAAGAAAGAAAGAAAGAAACCAATCAACAAACAAAAAGGTGATGACCTCATAAATGTACATGGGGGGGGATAAGGCGTGTGGCGGCTCTGGCATAATTTTGAGGTTAGTACATGAGTTCTGTGAGAGTCCCTTTGGCATAAACTGGTATCCTCAGATGACTCCAGAGGATAACGAGGGTAGACACCTTTCTATGCTTCCAGAAGATGTGCCGTTCTGCTCTTTGGGGTGAAGGCTTGAATTCTGTATCAAACATGTAGACTCACAACCCAAGGGCAGTAGTGGGAGGCAATGGTGATTAGAGCACTTGTCTTTGGATGGTATAAGAGTGACAGACTATTTTGTATGGTTTTTTTTTGTAAACAGGTTTACATTTCAAGTTATAATAGACGAGAAAGAATTCCCACAGGCTGAAGGCAGAACAAAAAAGGAAGCAAAAAATGCTGCAGCCAAATTAGCTGTTGAGATGCTTGCTAAAGAAAACAAGGTGAGTGAGTGCAATTATTTTCTTCCTAGCGAAAGGGAACTCAGAGAGATATTTTATTTTTCTTTCTGTGATAAAATACCCTGGTACAGAGTAAAGCCGTTCATAGCTTCAAGAGTTTGGTTCAGCCCCTTTCCTTGTCTTTATTTCTGTAGCACCTGAGTGAGAGGCACACCTGAGAAGTAGTGGGCAGGGCTGTATTGTAGTTATTTAGGGTGTCTGCAGCGGTGAGTACTCTGATGTTGAACATACGTAGAAAGGTGAGAAATATTCTGTGAGAAATGAACTGCCAGGTTCTGGGAGAATCCCTTCCTCCTAACTACAGAAGGGTTGTGGGCAGGAAAAAAGAGGCAGAAGTGATTGTGGGGAGAATGATGTTCAGAAGTCCCTCAGTACCCACAGGAATTGGTTCCAAGACTCCTATGGACACAAAATCCCCGGATGCTCAAGGCCCTTATGTAAAATGGCACGGTATGTGTGTATCACCCACACACGTTCTCCGATAGACAGTTAGGTGTTGCTTAACCAGGAAGATACATTCGGAGCAATGCGTCATTAGGCTATTTCATAGTTGCTTGAACATCATAAAGTGCACCTGCCTGAACCTAGATGGTAGAGTCTACTACACACCTGGGCTCCGTGGTCTAGCTTATTGCAGCAGCTACACAGCTGTGCAGCATGTTACTGTACTGAGTACTGCAGGTAGTTGGGACACAAGGGTGAATGTTCATGTATCTACACATGGGTAAATGCAGAAAAGGTACAGTACAAAGACAGCATAAGGAGATAGGAGAGGGTCACCTGTGTAGGGCGCTTACGACACAAGGAACTTGCAGGGCTGGAAGTTGCTCAGGTGAGCCAGAGAGTGGTGAGTGAATGCAAAGGCCTCAGACACTGCTACACCACTGTAGACTATAAGCACGATGCACCTAGGCTATAAAAATATTTTTCCTTCTTCAATAACAAATTAACCTTAGCTTACTGTAACTTTTTTACTTTAAAAACTTCTTAATTTTTTTTTTTACATTTTGACTTTTTTTATTTTTTGAATTGGAGTCTCATTCTGTTACCCAGGCTGGAGTTCAGTGGCATGTTAATGGCCACCATAGCCTGGACCTACTGGGCTCAGGTGATCCTCCTGCCTCAGCCTTCCAAGTAACTGGAACTACAGGCACGCGCCACCACACCCAGCTAATTTTTTTTTTTTTTTTTGAGTTGGAGTCCCACTCTGTTGCCCAGACTGGAGTGCAGTGGTCGCTCCTGGCCACCACAGCCTCGACCTGCTGGGCTGCGGCGACACTTCTGCCTCAGCCTTCCAAGTAGCCGGAATTACAGGCATGCGTTACCACGCCCAGCTGATTTTTTGATTTATTATAGAGATGAGGTCTCGCTGCCCAGGCGGGTCTCGAACCTGCGGGCTCAGGCAATCCACTCACCTCAGCCTCCCAAAGGCATGGGATTACAGGCTGAGCCACCAAGCCCAGCTAATTTTTTTTTATTTATTGTAGAGATGAGGTCTTGCCAATTTGCCCAGGCTGGTCTTGAACTCCTGGACTCAGGCAATCCTCTCACCTCTGCCTCCCAAAGTATGCGATTACAGGCATGAGCCACCGTACCTGGCTTCATTTTGACTCTTTTGTGATAACACCTAGCTTCAAACACATGGTACAGCTGAACAAAAGTATTTTCTTTCTTTCTGTTCTTATTCTTTAAATTTTTTCCTATTTCAAACATTATTTACTAATTTATTTATTTTACATTCTTAAACTATTTTTGTTAAAATCTAAGATGCAAACACACACATGAGCCTAGGCCTTCACAGGGTCAGGATCATCAATATCACTGTCGTCCACCAAAACATCTTGTCTCATAGGAAGGTCTTCAGGAGCAATGACAGCATGGAGCTGCCCGCTCCTGTGATCACAATGTCTTCTTCTGGAGGATCTCCTGGAGGACCTGCCTGACTGTCTTACAGTTTACTTTTAAAAAATAAGTTGGAGGAGTAGGTTGGGCATGGTGACATACACCTATAATCCTAGCATTTTGGAAGGCTGAGGCTAAAGGATTACTTGAACCCAGGAGTTTGAGACCAGCCTGGGCAACATAGCTACCTTGTCTCTACAAAAATAAAAAAATTAGGTCGGGCTCAGTGGCTCAGTCCATAATCCAAGCACTTTGGGAGGCCGAGGTGAGTGGATTGCCTAAGCCCGCGGGTTCAAGACCAGCCCAGGCATCTTGGCAAGACCTCATTTCTACAATAAAATAAAATAAATTACCCAGGTGTGGTAGCACATACCTGTAGTTCCAGCTACTTGGAAGGCTGAGGCAGAAGGATTGCTGGAGCCCAGCGGGGCAGCGCTGGGTGGCCATGAGTGTGCCACTGCACTATAGCCTGGGCGACGGAGTGAGACTCCAACTCAAAAAAATAAAATAGAGAATAAAATTAAAAAATTAGCCAGATGTTGTGGAGCACACCTGTAGTCCCAGCTAACTGGAAGGCTAAGGCAGGAAGATCACTTGAGCCTAGGAGATTGAGACTGTGGTGGGCCGTGATCACACAAGTGCACTCCAGCCTGGGTGACAAAGGGAGGCCTGACTCAAAAAAAAAAAAAAAAAAAGTAGGAGTACCCTCTAAAATAATGATAAAAAGGCCAGGCATGGTGGCGCACACCTGTAATCCCAGCACTTTGGAAGACGGGTGAGAAGTTTGCCTGAGTCCGCGGGTTTGAGACCAGCCCGGGCAACTTGGGAAGACCTCATCTCTACAATAAAATTTTTAAAAATTAGGTGGGCATGGTAGCGAGCGCCTGTAGTTCCAGCTACTTGGAAAGGCTGAAGCAGAAAGATCACCAGAGCCCAGCAGGTTGCCTCAACCCCCGAAAGTGCTGGGATTACAGGCTGACCCACCGAGCCAACAAGACTATTTTAAATCACCTCTAGATTACTTATATATCTGTTACAGTATAATTGCTGTATAAACAGTTGTTACATTGTTTTGTTTAGGGAATAATGACAGAAAAAATCTGTAGTGTTCAATATACAGGCAACCATTCTTTTTTCCCCAAAATATATTTTTAATTTTAATTTAATTTTATTGTATTTTTTCATCTGGCTCTTAGTGTGCACCAATTTTTTTTTAAATAAGCATAAGAATGTCTTCATTCACTTTATGTGGAAGTACAAAGATAAAGTGTATAAAGATAAAAAAAATGCTTCAAAAAATACCTTTCCTAAACATTTTAGATCTATGATTGGTGGAATCCAGGGATATGGAACCCATGGATGTGGAATCCATGTCAAAGTCAACTATGTGTGGAGGGCAGGTAATGGAGAACCAATAGGCATGTAACTGGTATCCCTAAAGATGAAACCAGAGTAAATGTTACACAAGAAAACGATTTTAAAGGATTTCAGCAGAAAATGTTTACAAAATAAATGTCTGGGTGCAGTGGCTCTTACCTGTAATCCCAGCACTTTGGGAGGCCAAGGGAGCAGAACTGCTCAAATCCAGGAGTTCTAGACCAGCCTAGGCAAATATTGAGACCTTGTCTCTACAAAACATCAAAATATTAGCTAAACGTTGTGGTATGCTGTAGTCCCAGCTACTTAGGAGACTTACGTGAGAGGATCGCCCGAGCCCAAGAGATGGAGACTGCAGTGAGCCATGATTGTGCCACTGTACTCCAGCCTGGGTGACAGAATGAAACCTCATCTCAAGAAAATAAAAAATATTTATGAAATGAATATGACTGCATATTAGAAAAACTCGAGATAAAATAGGATCCAGACCAAAACTGAGCTCCAAGGTCAGAGAAAGAATTCTGCAAACATCTAGATAGAAGAAGGAAGTTATGTGAAGTGTAAAAATTTTTAAAGTTTCAAACTGTGTGCAACAACATTATAAACCAGGAGACAGCGGAGTAATGGTTATAACATGAGATGTGAAATTGTTTACATGTTAAACAACAGAGGGCCATTCTCAGATTTTGAAAATTTTAGAAAAATTTAGTTTTCAAGATACTTTTCTTAAAAAAAATCTTACTTGAAAGCCAGGCGTGGTGGCTCAAGCCTGTAATCCCAGCACTTTGGGAGGCCAAGGTGAGAGGATTGCCTGAGTCCAGGGGTTCAAGACCAGCCTGGGCAACTTGGTGAGACCTCATCTCTACAATAAAAAAAATTTTTTTAAATCTTACTTGAAGATTTCATCCTTCTATCCAAAATTGAAAAAAAAAACAAGCAAAATTACATACTCATAATTATTGAAGCCCTAGAAAACTGAGTTAAGAAGTTAGAAAAAAACTGAGTCAAAAAAGCAGAAGAAAAAAAATGTTAATAATGGCAGAAATTAATGTAAAATAAACAAATAATAAAGAAGATTAATAAACCAAAAGCTTGTTCTTGGACAAAATTTAATAATGTAGATAAACTTTGGGCAAGATTTTGCCAGATTAAATTAAAAATAGGTATAGATAACAATAGTAGCCATGATGTTATTATAATAATTTTTCATTAAGCTGTGATCTGGAACACAGCTTTATGCTAATATCTGTCACCTTGTTTTTGGGGTTTTTTTTGTTTGTTTGTTTTATTTTTTTAGTCTGAGTCTCACTCTATCATACAGGCTGTAGTGCAGTGGCAGAATCATAGTTCACTGCAGTCTTGACCTCCTGGACTCAGGTGATCCTCCTGCCTTAGCCTCCTGAGTAACTAAAAAATTAGCTGGGCAATGTGACAAGACCTCATCTTTACAATGAGCCACCACCCCCAGCTAATTTAAAATATTTTTTTTTAGTGATGAGGTCTCACTATGTTACCCAGGCTGGTCTCGAACTCCTAGTCTTCTTTTTTTTTTTTTTTGGAGTTGGAGTCTCACTCTGTCGCCCAGACTGGAGTGCAGTGGCCGCTCCCGGCCACCGCAGCCTCGACCTGCTGGGGCTCCGGCAATCCTTCCGCCTCAGCCTTCCAAGTAGCTGGAATTACAGGCGTGCACTACCACGCCCAGCTAATTTTTTTATTTATTGTAGAGATGAGGTCTCACCAAGTTGCCCAGGCGGGTCTCGAACCCGCGGGCTCAGGCAATCCACTCACCTCAGCCTCCCAAGGCACAGGATTACAGGCTGAGTCACTGAGCCCGGCTCGAACTCCTAGTCTTAAGCAATCCTGCCAACTCAGCCTCCCAAAGTCCTGGGATTAGAACTGTGAGCCACTGTGCCCAGTCTCATCTTTTCCATTAAACTGTGATCAGAATTCAGCTCTGTGCTAATATCTATTGCCCTGTTTTTTGAGATTAAGAGAGGATACAGTAAGACACCCTCACATACATAACAAAATGTTATAGCACTTTGCAAGGAAAACCAAGAAAATGGACTATTTTGTTTTTTCCTTCCAAAACTGTAAAAGGAAAATGGATGATTTCTTTCTTAGTGTTAAAATTTAGCCTTGTGGCAGAGGGAGGTACGTATGTCACACTTTTCCTCAAGGTAATATAATAGGAAAGTATGTAACACCTAAGTTATCCTTCAAATTGCTCACTTTGTGATTTTATTAGAAAAATAAATTAAAAGGTTAAGTCTTTTTTGTCATTTATACTAGACAAGATTTTTTTTTTTTTGTAGCCAGTTAGCCGTTTGTCACTGACAACAGCAAAGACTTCAGAAGGATCATCCCTTGGGAATTACGTGGGTCTCATGAACAGAGTTGTTCAGAAGACAAGACTGGCTGTGAGTTATGAGCAATGTGACCTAACAGAGCAAGGGCCCAAAAGGTGAAGTGTTGTCAGCTTTTCTTTCTGTTTCATTGTATCTAAGTAATAAAGTAGGCTTATTTTCATGTCTCATTTTTCAGAAATATTTGTCCTTTTGATAAGTTCTGTATGAAAGCCTTTATATGACTTAAAAACATTTGGACTTATATATATTTTTTTTGAGTTGGAGTCTCACTCTGTCGCTCAAACTGGAGTTCAGTGGCATGCTCAACCTCCTGGGCTCAGGCAATCCTTCCACCTCAGTCTTCCAAGTAGATGGACCATGCCTGACTAATTATTTATTCATTTATTGTAAAGATGAGGTCTTGCTACATTGCCTAGGCTGGTCTCAAACCCCTGGACTCAGGCAGTCTTCTTGCCTCCACCTCCCAAAGTGCTGGGATTACAGGCTAAGTCACAGTGTCTGGCTTGGACTTATAATTTTTTATTAAAATGTGAATTTGCCAAAGCTGTGAGAGCCATCCTCTATAATTGATCCAACTAGGGTCTCCTCTGTTTCTGAGGTGTATCTAGATGACTTAGTCTGCAGGACACCTGAGAGAGAACAGGGTGCCCCTGATTGAAGGATACAAATAGCTTCCTGTCACTGAGACCACAATGGCAGCAGCTTTGTGGGAACCTCTCTGCCATGTGTGTAGAAGGACTGTCTACCCTTGTCAGAGTAGGGAGCTGTTTTTCCTGGTGTTTGTCCTTCAAGTTTGAGTTAAATGAACACATTTAACTCAGTTAATGTTAAATGAGTTAAATGAACTCAGAAGGAATGGGTTTAGGCCTAGACTGTGAAGACACCAGGATTTGGGGGAACTGCTGAATGGGATGGATGAACTAGAACTTGGGAGTTACTGAGAACAGCAGCAGTGAGCCAAGGTGTGTGGAAGGGAGGTTGAAGGATAGAGTGGAACTGAACAGAGATTGTTTCTCAACAACAACCAACCAGTTACATAAGGGAAGAGAAGAAAAAAATCTTGGCTGGTGTGGTGGCTCACTCCTATAACCCAGTACTTTGAGAGGACGAGACAGGATTATTTGAGCCCAGGAGTTTAAGGCCAGCCTGGGCAACATAGTGAGAACTCGTCTCTACAAAGAAATTAGTGGGGCATGGTGGCACATGCCTATAGTCCCCAGCTAGTCAGGAGGCTGAGGTGGAAGGATCGCCTGAACTGAGGAGGTTTGATGCTGTGGTAAGCTGTGATCCTGCCTGTGTAATCCTGCTTGGTCAGCAGAGTGAGACTTTGACTTAAAAAGAAAGATAGAAAGAGAGAAGGAGGGAGGGAGGGAGGAGGGGAGAGAAAGAGGGAGAAAAAGGAAGGATAGAAAGAAGGAAGGAAAGAAGAAAAAAATAAAGTAAAATAAATGCAAATACTGGAATAATTTTGCAGCAGTACTTGGTAACTCCATGATACAAATGCCATGTCCATTGTTCTACCCTTTAGAAATCATTTTTATATAATTGTCCAAGAGTCCTTACCTGACAACAACTGTCCTTACTTCTACTGTGATGAGAGTGTGAACTTCAGTATAAGGCGTGGCAATTTTCTCAATTTTTTTGTGCACATAGCAGGTAGCAGAAAATGCTGAAGTCAAAGCCAAATCTATACTTTGCTTATCCCCACAAAATCCACGGCATTGTAACTTCATGGCTTCCCCTTGGAAGTTCCACTTTCTCAACTGGCTTTTTCTTTCCCACTTAGGCATCTCTGAAAAACTCACTGGATCCTCCTTCACTCCCTCCCTCCCTTCCTTCCTTTTTTTTTTTTTTTAGACATAGGATCGGTTATTGTTGTCCAGGCTGGTCGCGAACTCCTGGACTCAAGCAATCCTCCTGCCTTGGCCTCCCAAGATGCTGGGCTTGTAGGCGTGAACCACTGTGCCCAGTCCAGTTTCTTTCTTCTCTATCTTTGTATCTTTTGACCTTCGGGGAATTTTAAAAAATCATCACTTAGTGCCTTTGTGCCAGTTCTTTCCTTTAAGGAACAAATTTGGAAAATGCAATCAGGATGTCAGCTAATCCTGATTATTCAGACACATTGACTGGCTATCTGACCGAAGGTTTAAATCACATAAGATATGAAATAGCCGGGCTCAGTGGCTCAGCCTGTAATCCCGTGCTTTGGGAGGCTAAGGTGAGTGAATTGCCTGAGCCCATAGGTTCAAGACCCGCTTGGGCAACTTGGCAAGACCTCATCTCTACAATAAATCAAAAAAATTAGCCGGGTGTGGTTGTGTGTGCCTGCAATTCCAGCTACTTGGAAGGTTGAGGCGTAAGGATCGCCAGAGCCCGGCAGGTCGAGGCTGCGGTGGTGGCCGGGAGTGGCCACTGCACTCCAGTCTGGGCACCTTTTTTTCAAAAAAAAAAAAGGATATGAAATAGACATCTATCTAATAAATTAATGTTATTTTAAGATCTTTGTTAATATGTGATTTTTTTTTTTCAAATCACTAGTTAGATTTAGCATATTTTTCGTATTTGGAATAGAGCTCTCTGTGTTTTCTCTTAGGTTTCATTGTAAATGCAAAATTGACCAGAAGGAATATGGTGTCGGTGTAGGCTCTACTAAACAAGAGGCCAAACAGTTGGCTGCTAAAAATGCATATCTCCGGGTACTGTCAGAAGGAACTGGAATGGTAGGCACTGCCTCTGGATGTATTTTTCACGTGTTAAGATTCCCTCGGCATCCCTGGGATGCAGGGCTGGTTCAATATCTGCAAGGCCATAAATGTAATTAAATACATCAGCAAATGTAAAAACAAAACCCACATGATTTAATAAAAAAAAAATATTCCCTCGGAAGTTGATTTTAGGTTAGGCTGTGTTTACATGAAGCCAAGACAGCCAGTTATGGAGCAAAATCAGAGTGGCTTTTTAAAATCCAGCTCAAACATCCATTTAAAAAAATGTGTTCATCTTGTAATTGTTTATGGTCCAGGACTTGGTAAATGTAAGGAAATAGCCTAGATAGTCCTTGGAGATTAAGTCACGGTAAAGAGTTATTTAGCTGCATTTATGTCTACTAAGGGTAGCTCTTTCTTCTAGAAGGTGGACTCGATGTCCTGTGGTTCTTTTTCCCCTGTGCCTAGCTTTGAAACATCCACCAGCTCATGGTAAGTGAGGACAATCAACTGTGATACTCACATATTCAATTGCTGCCTGAAAGGCAAATTTTATGAAAGCATTTAATGTCTAAGGGGAATTTAGAAAAAGAAATTAGTGACAAGAAATAGATGTATAAACTAATAGTTATGCCCTTGTCTTCTAGTGCTTCTGAATCATCACGTGAAAATGATTTTTCAGCAAATGCATCAACAAGAAACAATTTAAATGATTCTTCATATTCTATGGTATAGTATTTGCCTCTAAGCTTCTTCTCGAATCCTATTTTCCTGTGTGTTTCTTCATTTAAAAATGACCTTCAAGGTTGGGTGTGGCTGCTCAAGCCTATAATTCAGCACTTTGTGAGGCCGAGGCAAGAGATTGCCTGAGCCCAGGGTTTCAAGACCAGCCTGGGCAACTTGGTGAGACCTCATCTCTACAGTAAATCAAAAAATTAGCAGGCCGTGGTAGTGCACACCTGTAGTTCCGGCTACTTGGAAGACTGAGGTGGAAGGATTGCCTGAGCCCAGCAGGTCAGGGTAACTGGGGTGGCTGTGAGTGTGCCACTGTACTCCAGCCTGGGTGATAGAGTAAGACTCCAACTCAAAAAAAAAAAAAAGACCTTCAATATTTGACCATAAATTTTATATTTTTATCTCACAGATTCTCACTCAATAAAAACATAGAGCAGCCTTTTGACTCTCTCTCTCTTTTTTTAATTAACCCAAATTCCTCAAAAAAAAGTGTGTAAAATACTTTCACACTTTTTTTCAGTTTTTCCTATTCACTCTTATATTTTTATATAATCCTATTATGTTGCTTTTCTCTCCTACCAACTGGATAATATAATATTTAAAAGTTCATTAATGTTTGTTTCTGTTCCAAAAACTGGAACTAAACTTAAAGTTAAATTAACTTTAACTGTCGAATAATTTTTTAGACAGGTGCTGTAGTGGGTGTCTGTACTTTTAACTACTTGGGAGGCTGAGTTGGGAAGATCGCTTGATCTCAGAAGGTCATGGCCAGCCTGGGAGTTTGAGAGTAGCCTGGATAACATAGCGAGACCCTGTCCCCCCCAAAAAAATTAAGATCATTTTCATGGTGATGATTAGTGTTACAAAAGTATTCTGTGTATAAAGAACTGCAGAACAATAAGAAAAAAACAAGAAGCTCAGTAGAAAAATATACAAAGATCTGAATAGACAGTTCAGGGAAGAAGTATTCAAATGGGCAACAAAGATATTTTACTAAGAATCAGGAAAATGCAAATCAGAAGAACAATAAGATACTCTTTCAAATTTATCAGCTTGGCAAAATTTAAGTCTTTCAATACTAAGTATTGGTACAGGGCTTAATAAGAGTACAGACATTGACGTTGAAGGAATAAGGAAAGTGGTCACAGAGCCCTCTAAAAGGACAGGAGGAATAACGTGGTGGTTCATGCCTGTAATCTCAGTATTTTGGGAGCCTGAGGCAAGAAGATTGCTTGAGTCCAGGATTTCGAGGCCAGCCTGGGCAACATAGTGAGACCTCGTCTCTGCAAAAAACAAAAATTAGCCAGGCATGGTGGTGTGTGCCTGTAATCGTAGTTACTCAAGAGTCTGAAGTGGAAGGATCACCTGAGCCCAAGAGGTCAAGGCTGCTGTGAGTCATGACCCTTGCCACTGCACTCCAGCCTGGGCAACAGAGTGAGATTCCAACTCAAAAAGAAAAGAAAAGAAGTACAGGAAGAAGAACAAGAGAAAGTAAAGAGGATGATCTAATCATCTGAGACTATTTCCTATTTCTTTTGCTGTAGAATGATCACAGAAGTAATTCAAAGAAGGTACAAAGGTGAGTAGCTTTATATATTGAACATATTTTGAAATTAAGTTTTATTTCAGACTCAGTTCATCATCGTGATATTTTAAGTCTTCAAATATTTGTAGAGTATTGTACACCCTTGAGTGGAGTTTCAAAGATAGAAAGCTTGAAATCTACAAACAGAGAATTTAAATGTACAGAGAAATCTTTGGGCCAGGTATGGTGACTCATGCTGTAATCCCAGCACTTTGGGAGGCTGAGGTGGGAGGATCGCTTGAGTCCAGAAGTTTAAGACCAGCCTGGGCAACACAGCAAGGCCTCATCTCAACAAAAAATACAAAAATTAGCCAGGCATGGTGGCACGTGCCTATAGTCCCAGCGATTTGGGAGACTAAGGCAAAAGGATCACATGAGTCCAGCAGGTTGAGGCTGTGGTGAGCCATGACGGTACCACTGCACTGCAGCCTGAGTGACATAATAAGACCCTGACTCAAAAGAAAAAAGTCTTTGAATTTATGCACAAACACAAGCTACACTGTAGCTTATGCACTATGAGGGTGTTTCTGGATTAATTATTCAAGGGCATTACTTTGGATATGGCTGACTAGGAAGTGGGCTTGGAGAGGTGTTTCAAGAAAAGAACATTATTTTGCAGACTTGTTGGGAGGGTGAAAATAGCATAATATGAGTAAAAGAAAAAAGATCCCATGTTATGTCAATTGTGGCTATTTGGTTCCTTTACTAAAGAGAAACACAAGGTTGTAAATGGAGTCAGAACTGAGGGGTATGGCATCAGGAGCCATGTGAATCCGGTGTGTTTTGAGCAGTAGACAGAAGCGTGGGAGAACGATGCCTCCTGGTGTGGGTGCTCACTTGGAGAGGAGATGGGGCTGCGTGGGGGAGAATGTGTGAGAAAGACAGTCAAGGAGGAGTAGGTGAGACTGGAGGGAACCATGTCCCTCTATCTGGGTGAGAGCCTGGAGAGGAGGTCCAGGAGGAGAAACTGAAGATCGCTCCATTTAACGGAACACAGCCAGGAATCGTGGCCCTGATGGCGTCGAGGATGTGGAAGACTTGAGGGAAGAGAGGGAAGATAACATTTGGATGTGTTTGCTGGTAAGGCAATTGCAGGTGGCTGCTCACCAGTAAGAAATAGCCAGAATGAGCGTTCAGGGAGATGTGCCTCCCGCGGTTGTGACCCTGAAGGAAGAAAGGAGAGGCTGGTGACACGTCCACAATGAGTGCTACAGGGTGATGAAGGGAATCAGAGAGGAGATGACAATCACTCGAGGAGAACCTTTAGCGTATAGTTTTATAAAAAAGACAGGTTGGCTGGGCTCAGTGGCTCAGCCTGTATTCCCAGCACTTTGGGAGGCTGAGGCGAGTGGATTGCCTGAGCCCGTGGGTTCGAGACCTGCCCAGGCATCTTGGCGAGACCTCGTCTCTACAATAAATCAAAAATTAGCTGGATGTGGTAGCGCGCACCTGTAGTTCTGGCTACTTGGAAGGCTGAGGCAAAAGGATCACCAGAGCCCAGCAGGTCGAGGCTGTGGTGGCCATGAGTGAGTCACTGAGCTCCAGTCTGGGCACAGAGTGAGATTCCAACTCCAAAAAAAAAAAAAAGAAAGAAAAAAGCCAGGTTAACACTTGCTGCCCTGTTATTCTTAGTTGACCAAAACTACAAAACGCCTAGTACAAGGCATGAATCCTACCCTAAATGAGTGACATTTGATTTCAGGGTTTGGGGGGGGGGGGTTGTTTGTTTGTTTGAGTCAGGGTCTCACTCTATTGCCCAGGCTGGAGTGCAGTGGCGCGATTGTGGCTCACCACTGTCTCAACTTCCTGGGCTCAGACGATCCTTCCACCTCAGCCTCCAGAGTGGTTGGGACTAGAGGTGCGTGCCACCACACCCAACTATTATTTTTATTTTTTTGTAAAGCTGAGGTCTCGCTATGTTGCCCAGGCTGGTGATTTCAGTTTTATCTGAGTCTTACATTCTTCTCTTAACTTTTAGGTGTTTGGCCCCTACATTTGTCCCTCCTGAGATGAAAGAAAACAGGTATACCGTGGAAGAAAGGTAAGATGGAGCTGTGAAAGAGAATTTGTTTAAAAATATGTTTGCTCGTTCAGCAGAAGGTTCTCAGGGCCTGTTATAAGGTTAAATTTTTATACCTACCCGAATAGTTTAATTGTTGAAGCACAATCAAGCCCACAAGGATCATTGTCTATTGGTGAAGTAAGATTTACACAAATCCTGACAGATTGTGGTGAGTGTGGGTCTTGCTGATGTTTGTGTTGATTTTCTGATTTATATGAAATTTTTAAATATTGAAGGCTACTACTCCTGTAAACCAGTGATTTAAAAGAAAAATAAGAAAGTTCTTCTGTAGGATTCAGATTGATCTACTTGAATCTGTTTTTCATTTTCTAGCTCCATGCCAGGTTTCACTGGAAAAAAGGGTTTCTCTGCTGTAGACAAGACATTTGGGTTTCAGTGAAATCGCTAAAACAAGGAGGCCTGTTTGCAACTGGGGTGTGTTGAATATAAGTTTAAAACAGTAAAAAATCAATGTGTACTCTTTGGATGCCTCATATCTAACCGGCACTGTGCTGGACAGTGGGTTTGTAGTGGCAACAGTTAGAAGTGGTTCCTGCCCTCATGGGGTTTTGTAGGGTTGACCGCCACTAAAGAAACAAGTTTCCTGAAAAATCTGCCATGATAGATGATGGTCAGGGCTCAAAGGGAGAGAAACGGAAGCAAGGCTCTTGGGTTTTGAGTGAGAGAGGCGAGGCTTCTCTGAGCTCATGTCTGTGGGGAGGCCTCCAGGATGAGGTGGGGAGGCTCCAAGTTGAGGCTGTTTGCTAGGTGGAAGGAAGGGCCTGTGGAGTATGGAGGTGGAGGGTGGATGTGAGTGTTGAGAACAGACGGAAGGATGTGTCTGGGCCTGCAGTGAGCCAGGACTCTGCCAGGGGCCCAGGCTGCTTAGGGAGGCAGAGGACATGTTAAGTGGCACCTCCTGGGCCACTTGGCTTTTCATTTTTGCTGCAAGCAGAGGTTGCCTATTGGAGAGTTTCGGCAGCAGAGAGATGTGGCCAGACCCCATTTTCATCCCTCTGGCTGATGCCTGTTGTGGAATGGAGCAGGGCTGGGGAAAGGAGGAGGGAGGAGTTAACAAGGGAAGCGTGCACAGGGTGAAGATTTTTTTCCTCTTTTAATTTTTATTTTAAAATTGTGGGTTACAATTCAGGGTTTGGTATACAAACAGTCATTGTACAGGTACCCTTATTGATGAGTTGTGCACCCCCTTCCCCAGGCAGTTATCGACTACTGTCAATCCCTCCTCCCCATCCCCCACCCCTCCCCCCACAGATTCCCACTACTTTCAATTCTTAGAGTGATACAGTAGTTGTTCAAGGACCACTTATGAGTAAGAACATGTGATACTCAGCTCTTTGTTTCTGTGAGAGATCACTCAGTGTTATAAGCTCTAGTTCCATCCAGGTTGCTGTGAAGTTTCATGATGTTGTCTTCTTTATGGCTGCGTAATATTCCATTGTGTATATGTAACACATTTTAAAAAAATCCAGTCCTCTTTTGATGGGCAGCATGGTTGGTTCCATGTTCTTGCTTTTGTGAACAATGCTGTCATAAACATACGTGTGCAGACATCTTTTTCATAGAGTGACCTGAGTTCTTCTGGGTGCATTTCCAGCAGAGGGGATTGCAGGTGGAGAAAAGGGGGCAGGTGCCAGCAATGTGACTTGGAAGCAGCATTCGACGGGGCCTAAGGATGGCATGTCGGGCCCTGGGGAGTTATGAACCCTGCCAGGCTCAGAGCACATACGCATTTCTCCCATGGGCTTGGTGGAGGCTGTGGAGCTCAATGTGGTGACACATTGGAATGTCTTGTCCTTGGGATGGGATCCTTTATCATGGCTCTAGAACAGCCAGGAGGTGACTGTGACTCCCAGGGGTGATCTGTTAGGTTTGACTCTCCATGAGAGGAATGGGGGATGGGACGAAATGGGGCCCAGGGGAGAAACTTTTTGTGAATCAGGAGTTTTTGCCAAGTGAATTTTTCTTCTTCAGAAGGAGAGAATCATGTTTATTGTACAGTCCACTTCTCAAGTGACATGAAATGATAAGGAGGGGCAAACATGGAGCCTCATAACAACAGTGGTGTTTATCTTTAAGGTTTTCCAACGATTTTGAAGAAATAAAACCAATTGGCTTAGGTGGATTTGGCCATGTTTTCAGAGCAAAACACAGAATTGACGGAAAGACTTATGTTATTAAACGTGTTAAATATAGCAACGAGTAAGTAATACCTTTCTCTTTGTTTTTTGTAAGTTGAACCTGCACTGTTTGTTTTCTCGTTTGTCTCTTTGTCAGTATATCATTTACTCCTTTTTGGTCCTGCTTAAACATTCCATTCCCACAAGAGGAGCTTGGCTTACTGTGAAGTGCTCTTACTTTACTGTGGTTATTTTTGATTAAAAAAAAAAGTAGATCTACCATTGATCATCCTTTTGAGGCTGTCTTGAAGACTGAAGCTACAGAGTCACAGTTTAAGGTGACCTTTGAGAGGGTCTAGTCTCACCTCCTTATTTTACAGATGAGGAGAGAAGACTGAGAGCCAAATGTGAGCTGATGCGTCTCAGGTCAAAGCTAGTTGGTAATTGTCATGGTTATCTGTCAGTGCATAATACGAGGTAGGCCCCAAAAGACCCCAAATTTATTTATAAAAACCTGTGTATTTATTCTTACACATTTAAACTTCATTCACTTTCAGAGTACTCTACGTTCAATGCAATACACCTATTGAGATGCTTTCTCTTCTGCTCAAAACAGTTTTGTACTCATCGATTTTGATACCTTTTAGTGCTGTTGTTTTTTTGTTTTACCTCTTTTACATCAGTGAAATGTTTCCCTTTGAAGACTTTTTTCATCCCGGGAAATGATAAAAAGTCACTTGGGGCGAGTTAGGGTGAATAGGGATGGTGGGGTATGAGGGTCATGCCGTAGTTTGTCAAAAACTGATGACCACTCAGCATGGTGTGGGCAGGTGTGCTTGTGAATCACCCATCATGACATGGGCAAATGCGTTGAATCTCCAAAAAATTCACTGAAGCCGACCGCAGCCTCTTACAACAATGCTAGCAGGTACACGGATGCTGAACAATTACCTAGAACAATTACCTAGTAGGGGAAGCCTGTGTACTACAAGGGACCCAACCTCCAAAATGCTAATTCCAAGTTTTTTGGGTTTCCTCTCATTCTCTGCTCCAAAATGCAGTGACTTAAAAACAGCACTTTATTGTTGTCTCCCATGGCCCTGTGGTTTGACTGTGCTCATCTGGGCACTTCTCACTTGGGACTTCCAGGTACCTGCAGTTAGGAGTCATCTGAAAGCCTGATGAGGCCAGATGGCCAAGCTGGCTAGCGGTTGATGCTGGCTGTGGGATGCAAGTTCAGCTGGGATCCCCAGCCAGAGAACTTCCACGTGGCCTCTCCATGTGGCCCAGGCTTCTCACAACTTAGAGACTGGGTTTCAAGAGGGATTGTCCCCACAACTAGTCATCCAAGAGACCAGGAGGGAGTGGCAAGGCTTCTCCCTACTAACCTGAGTGGTTCCAGAACATCATCTCCACCATGTTATATTGGTTAAAAAGGTCACTAAAGCTCGCTCAGATGCAAGGGGAGGCAGATAGAGTCTAAGTTACTTTTGGGTCGTGAATGTGTGTGAGGAGGGAAGAAACTGAGCATGACCATCTTTGGACACCATCCCCTATGTAGAAAGTGGAGACTTAGCACCCCTCTGCGCTTGTATGCCAACCCACTGTGTTCCCACTATGACCTATTGTCCCCTCCATCCCGCTGGATGGCAGCAGTCCTTCAGGAAGGAAAACACTTAAGGTCTTCCGTCACAGGCTCATCAGTTCCCCAGTCTTACTTGTGGTTTTCTGGCCATTGTAACTCACTAGACGGATCTCTCAGAGACTAGAGAAGGAACTGGAAAGGAAGGGGTAAGAGCAAAGGAGAAGCAGGTGCAGAGGGCCAGGGGCTCTTCATCCCAGGCACATAATCCTGCTTCCTGCCCCAGGGATAGTGCCTTGTGTGAGAGACCCTCATACTTGTGCAGCATCGAAGCAAGACTTTTCCCTTGTCATTTTACTTAACAGTCATGAACTACTATTGTTCCCCCTCATTAGATAACAATTTTTAAATGGCAGTAATATGGTACAGAACAGAGAAGTTCCCTTACTGCAATCTGTTGAAAGTCTGCCCTCAACACAAGGGTTTGTGAAAGAAATAATAATAATAAAATGACTTTTTTAAAAATGGTGATAACTACTTGGGAGGGTGAGGCAGGAGGATCACTTGAGCCAGGTGTTCGAGACCAGCCTATGCAACATGAGACCATGCCTCTAATTTTTTTTTTAAATCAGCTGGGCATGGTGTGGCAGGCCAGTCACTTGGGAGGCTGAGGCAGGAGGATCAATTGAGCCCAGTAGCTGGAGGCTTCAGTGAGCTATGATCACACCACTGCACTCCAGCCTGGGCAACAGAGTAAGACCCTATCTCAAAAAGAATGGTAATAATGTTGATAAAGATACAGTGTTTTGGACATTTCTAGTGGCTTTTATATTGATATAATATGTTTTAAAATATACTAGGAAATATTAATATGGAGCCATACAAATGTTTATGTACTCTGGTCCAAGGATTTCCTGTTTGGGAACTTGTTCTGAGGATATTATCCAAATTATGGATCTGTATACAGAAGATATAAATCACAGTGTCATTTACAACAGAGAAAAATTAAAACAAACAGAATAGTCCTCAATAAAGAAATGATTAAATATGCTTTCTTATCTTCACTGATTAATGGCTATCTTGCAGCCATTAAAAATGAGCGTTATAAGGAGTTTGAGACCAGTCTGGGCAATATAATGAGACCATGTCCCTACCAAAAAAAAAAAAAAAAAAGAAAAAAGAAAATACTGGGGCATGGTGGCACACACCTGTAGTTCTAGCTACTTGCAAGGCTGAGGCTGAAGTATCACCTGAGCCAAGAAGGTTGAGGCTGCAGTGAGCCATGATTGTGCCATTATACTCTAACCTGGGCAACAGAGTGAGACCCCAAAATCCCATCAAAAAATAAAACAAAAACAAAAAAATCCAAAATAATAACTGTTTAGGATTGTCAAAGTATCAACAGTTTTTTCCTTTATTTTTATAATTATTATGTCATATAATTTAGAATTTTTAAATTAAATAATTTGTAAAATGTTTGCTTCTCCTTCCTTCTCTCTGAAATCTCAAATTTATATACTGCCTTTAGCAGGGAATTATCTTGGATTTGACAACACCTTCTTATAAAGCTCCCACTGGGTCAATTTCTGGGCATAAATAATTCTCTTTGTGTATTCTTGCCTCACACTGAAAATCCTGGTGTCAATTCTTTCTGCTGCCTGCATGGGGTTTGCTCGTGAACTCCTAAGATGTTAACTCTAGTCTAAATAAAACAGAGTGTATGACTGAGCTATTGAAAATTACATCACTGGCATTTCAAATACTACTAGAAATCTTTCTTATTTTTAAATATTTATTGGTTTTGGAACATTTTAGTTACTTCTGGAGAATGCGATTTAATTCAATTGACTTTTCACATAACTGCTTTCACTATATCTCACAAATGATTTCTAAAATGAAGTTTGGAATTTGTCAAGTCGCTGCTTACACTTATTTGTGGAGAGTGACAACAGCTGTGTGTCTCTGTGTGTTCTTTTTTTCTTTTGTGTCTCCTGGTTTTCACCCTAAAACTCGGGGTGAGAACCACACAGCGGTGTTATCAGAGTATGCAGGTTGCTGTCTCCTGTTAGGAGAAATGTTTTGTGACTGTTGTCAGGAATGTGCACTGACACTTCCATGCTCCCCGTTCCTCCAACTAGGAAGGTGAAGCGTGAAGTGAAAGCACTGGCACAGCTCAGTCATGTGAATATTGTTCAATACAATGGTTGTTGGGAAGGATTCGATTATGATCCCGAGAGCAGTGATTACAATACTAAGAGCAGCAACTGCTTTACTGAGAACAGCATGAACAAATCAAGGTGAGTAAAAAGAAATAAATAATATAAAACAAATAAATAATATCAATTCATAGCAAGACCAACTTAGTTCATAAAAAATATGAAATGTGACTGGGTGTGGTGGCTCACACCTGTCATCCCAGCACTTTTAGAGGCTGAGACGACAGGATTGCTTGAGCCCAGGAGTTCGAGACCAGCATAGGCAACAAAGGGAGACCTCCTCTCTACAAAAATAAAAACAAAATTAGCTGGGTATTGTGGCACGCATTGGTTGTCCCAGCTAATCAGGAGGCCGAGGTGAAAGGATGGCCTAAGTCCAGGAGGTCGAGGCTGAGGTAGCCTTGATCATGCTATTGCACTCCAGCCTGGGTGACCGAGTGAGGCTCAGACTCAAAAAAAAAAAAAAAAAAAGGCGGGGGGCAGGCTCATACTTCACAAATTAGCTAAACAATTAAAGTTCTGGATATCTGGGAACTTAATGATTTAAATTAAAAGTGGTTTATTACATTTTGTCACTCAAACTTATTTAGTAGACTTAGATTTCCGTTTTAAGACATGTTTGGGGGTTCTTAAGAAGATATGTTATACTTTTTAAAAGAAAAGTATTTTTCATAAATGTATTTTAATTGTTACTTTTAATATACCAGGAATTTTATGTCCAGATCAATGACTAGGTGCCTTTTCATCCAAATGGAATTCTGTGATAGAGGGACGTTGGCTAAATGGATTGATGACAGAATGGGCGAGAAACCAGAAAAGGCTTTGGTTTTGGAATTCTTTGAACAGATAACAACAGGAGTGGATTATATCCATTCAAAAAACCTGATTCATAGAGATCTTAAGGTAAGTGGAAACTCTCCTTTGTTAGTTGATAAAATGTAACTTAGTAATTTTAAAATGTGTCTTCCCTAATTTTAGAATTGTGATTCATAATTATGAGGAAATGATATCTCTGATCCTTGGAGTTAGACTGGGTCTGGAACTTTCCCCAAATACCATCCCACAGAACCACTCGGAAGATCCCCAGGGCTTGTGACCTTACTGTTACAATGAGCCCTCCAGGAAGGCTCATTCACTTCTGGTCTGTTTGGTTGATAGTCACACCCCAGTTGTAAACACTAGTAGCTTTCATATGCTGAACGTTTCCATGCAGTTAATGATTGTGGTTGGCACAGCCAATGACTGCTCTGTCCCTTCCTCTGCTGCTTCTCATGCTTAGTTGAGAGACAGAAGGGACTTGGTTTGTTGACTGTGGCTTTGGGAAGATGGTTCCCTAATCTCTCAATCAATACTTTTGAGGGCACTCACAGCGAATGGGTGCAGAGTCTAGCGTTTTCTTTTTTGGTTTTTCTTTGAGATAAGGTTTAATTATGTTGTCCAAGCTGATTTTGAACTCCTGGGCCTCAAACTACCCTCCTGACTTGGCTTCCCTAATCGCAGGTGTGAGCCACAGCACCCGGCCTCAGAGTCTAATATTTTCTTGGTTATACATTTCAGCTGCATGGTATGCAGTCATCCAAAACTTGGACTATGCATCATCCATTCGTATTTTCATTTCCTCAGACTTTCCTAGTATGGACAAGCAGTTTTCTCACTTTTTCTTCTCATAAAGTGAAAGAAGAATGGGAATAGAACAGCCTTCCACAGTCTCACCTCCGTCCTGTTCCCTATGACATGCCTACTCCCTTCCCACACTGACTTCACCCAGTGCTACCCCTGGACTTGGCCTTGTGTTCTCTGATATGGAGCTCTTCTGCCTGTCCCCTGGGCCCCCAGGGCCTGTATTCAGCCTTTCCTGCTCACCCTGAATCTGCCTTCTTCTGCCCTGGGCAGGAGCGCCTTCTCTATGTGCCTTTTGGTCCTTTGCTCACCCCTCCTCTCTAACACAGCCAGGAATGCAGAGCGAAGCAAAGAGCTCCTTCAGAAAAAGGCATGTCTGATCATAGGGTTGTTTGTTGGGCCTAGACAGGAATTAGTGGCCCTTACAAGATGTTGCTTCCTGGATCTGCCCAGGGGCTGGATGTCTGATGTGTTGGTGTTCGAGTCCACCGGATCCCCTTCTCTCTCTTTATGTGAGAAGGTAGTCTTTGAAATTGGGATGTCATTGGGACTGTGTTCAAAATAATAAATGTGGAGTGGCTATACCTTCACATGTAGTTAAATAGCAAACTAAGCACAATTATGTACACACATAACACTTGGCAAGTAAATGCAGAAGTGTAGGTATTCACTTGCTGGCACTCCTCAGAGTGAATGAGGGAAGTTGACTGGTGCCTACCGACTTGTCTGCCAGCTCCCTCCTGTACCCGGCACTGTCTGTACCCTGTGTCATGGACTGATCTACTCTTGTGTTGGTTTGCAGGGAACTTTTGCCTGGGTTGCAGTTGCTCAAAGGTCAGACTTTAACCCCGGGCTTCTTGCATCTTCTATAACTCTTCTAGTTCTCACTGCCACAGTTGCTTATTTCTCTCCTCTGAGAGAAGACACAAATGAAGGCTGACACTTTTGGGTTATGCTTTGCAAATGAACAGCTGTAGGTGACTTTGCAGAAAGTGGTCTTTACCCAACACAGCCCCTCTTATAAAATTCCCCAAGTGTTTTCAGCTGTCGGAATCTTAAGAACGAGACCTCAGGCGAGGGACACAGAGGTTTCTGGAGTGAGGACTTCCTGTCCAAGGCGGCTTTTCTCTAGAAGGTGCAGTCTCCTTATAGGCCCAGGCTCTTTGAGCAGCCTCAGCCCAAGCATCTGCCCTTGTTCTTTGCCTCCTAGATAAAGCTTGCACCCTTTGTCATGCTCTATAACCCTACATTTTGTCTATTCGTGCTGCAACTGATTAGACAAAATGTGGCATTGTTGTTTCTCTCTGTAGTGAACTATAAAAAGCAATCTGATATGTTTACAAGATAGTCTCACCCAGTGTAGATATTTTCCAAGCATCATATACGAAACCTCCTGTTTCTCAGAGTCAGGTGACAGCCTCACACCGGACCAGCAGTTTCACTTGCAAACCCAACATGTGGCTTTGTTGTAACTTGAACATGGCATAGGAGCATTTTCTCTCACATCCACCCCTCATAGCCCTATAGCCTTCCATCTGTATTATGGGCATTAGGTTCCAGCGTGACTGTTCTTTGAATTCTGATTTAACTACCTGCTCGTTCCTGCATGGACCCTCTCAGGCTGGCTTCTTGAAGGCTCCTCCTTCAGTCCTCCCTGGGCTTAGGGTCTCTTCGCTCAGTTCCTTTTATAGATCCCCTCATAAGTGTGTTACCTCATAGGGTCTCTGTGTGTGTATAGCTCAAGAATGTATTGGAAGTCTAGCTTTTTCAAGAATTGCAAAATGTTAATTTCCTCATCACCTACCTTCCTGTTTTTATAGTCTTTAGAATATTGGCCAATACCTTCTATAAAGGGGTGGGATAGGCTTGACTACTCATATTCTGTTCTTCTTTTTCTTTTTTTCTTTTTTTTTTAAGTTGAGATCTCACTCTATTGCCCAGGCTGGAATACAGTGGCACGATCACAGCTCACTGCAGCCTCAACCTCCTGAGTTCAAGCAATCTTCCCACCTCATTCTCCCAAGTAGCTGGGACTACAGGCACACATCACCACACCTGGCTCGTTTTTTTATTTATTGTAGTGGTGAAGTCTCGCTATATTGCCCAGGCTGGTCTCAAATTCCTGGGCTCAAGTGATTCTCCCACCTTGGCCTCCCAAAGTGCTGAGATTATAGGTGTGAGTCACCAGATCTGGCCTAAAATTTTTAAAAAAAATTTTTTAACTAAAAAACAAAATTTGTAAAAAAAAAAAAAAAAGTAGTTATTGACTTTCTGTTAACTTAGTATTCTTTCAAGGTGGAGGGGATATGTTTGTTAAGGAGGTATCAGAGCTATGACCTAACTATGACTTACAGAATATGACCTAACTAAGATCCCCAGGAGAAATCCTGCTCAGGATGATCTGTTGTATTGTTGGGAATGGACCCACTCAGAGAATCTCAAAATTGGAAGGGAACTTGGTGTCTCCTTCAATCCCCATCAGATCCCGGACTCATATTTATTAACATATTAACAGTATTTCCTCAAGTGGATATCCAGCCCTATCTTAGGATGGAGAACTTTCTAACTGCCATCCTTTGGACAACACTATTGGCATATTAGGATATATCACAACAAATCTTTGGGTCTTTCATCCCAGATCCATCCACTGGTACCATGCAGAGTGAATCCCCTTTTCATTCGACAGCTCTTCAAATACTCGAAGGAGGCTGCGCTCCAAATTGCCTCTGCTTTCAGCTCTAAAGTCCTTGCTTCCTTTGGCAGGCATTGTAAAGACCCATGATATTAAACTCCCTGATTTGGGCTACCTACATGAGAGTAAAAGTCTTATGAGGAAATACAAAAATAACCTTTGCTAAATATGATTTGGATATGTGATAATAGTATTTCAAATTGGTTCATATACTTTAAATATTGGTTTCTTTTATAGCCACTTAACATATTTTTAGTAGATGAAAAACAAATAAAGATTGGAGACTTTGGACTCGTAACATCCCTGAAATATGATGAAAAGCGAACACATAATACAGGAACTCTGCAATACATGAGCCCAGAGCAGGTGAGGTTTCTTTCCTTTCTGTCTTTGTATATTTTATTTCTTTTATTTTTTTAAAATATAAAATAGTAGACACTTCTTATAAAATTGAAATTATAAGAATCATATCGAATAAGAATTGAAAATGCCCCTTAAACTTCCTCTCCCTTCCTGTTCTTCTCATCAGTTTGTTCTTTGTCCTTTTAAATAATTTTCCATGAGTTATAAAAACATACACATACAAATACAGTAAGTCCCCTACATAACAACAACTTCCATTCTGAGATCACCTTCTTGAGTCCAATTTGTTCATAAGTACAAAGTTAGCCTAGGTACCCAAAAACCATAGTAGACTATACAGTACTGTACTATAATATATTTATAATACTTTTCACACAAATAATACATAAAAAGCAAACAGTACTGTACAATAAAGTACACAAAAGCACAACTACTTGTAGAGGTTGCATGCATGTGACAATGTACACCAGACACGTGAACTCACTTACATGAATGGACATACGAGCACACATTTGCATCTTTGAAAGTTCACAACTTGAAGGTTCATATGTAGGGGACTTACTGTATACACACAGACATATTTTACACAAACATATTCATGCATGACTTTTACAAGGAACTATTTTGCAATATAACTATATATATAGTTATAAGTAACTATCACAAATAACTGTATTATTTTTGACTTTTTTTTTGAGTTGGAGTCTCACTCTGACACCCAGGCTGGAGGGCAGTGGCATACTCCCGGCCACTATAGCCTCGACCTGCTGGGTTTAGGTGATCCTTCTGCTTCAGCCTTCCAAGTAGCTGGAACTACAGGCACGTGCCACCATGGCCAGCTAATTTTTTGGTTTATTGTAGAGATGAGGTTTCGCCAAATTGCCCAGGCTGGTCTCGAACCTGCAGGCCAATCCTCTTACCTCAGCCTCCCAAAGTGCTGGGATTGTAGGCATGAGCCACCGCTCCTGGCCATGACTGAGCCACCGCTCCCGGCCGTGATTTGACTCAACAGTACGGCATTCGAATTGACATGGTGGCTTATGTCTGTAATCTTAGCACTTTGGGAGACTGAGGCAGGAGGATTGCTTGAACCCAGGAATTCGAGATCAGTCTAGGCAACATAGCAAGACATTGTCTCTACAAAAAAGTAAAAAAATTAGCCAGGCATGGTGGCATTTGCCTGTAGTTCCAGCAACTCGAGAGGCTTAGGTGGAAAGATTACCTGAGCCCAGAAGGCGAGGCTGTGGCAAGCTGTGATTCTGCCACTGCAATCCAGCCTGAGTGACAGCATGAGACTCTGACTAAAAAAAAAAAAAATCTCGTTTAAAACTTTGTCTTTATGAAGATTGTTTATCGTTTTAAAGCTTTCCCCAGAATACCTATAAAGTTTTCTATTATAATGAGATTCCTTATATTTGATTGATTATTAGTGAAACTATTGGTTTTTAAAATACATTTCTTTTTAATTGTAGTAAAACACACATAACATAAAATGTACCATCTTAACCATTTCTTTACCATCTTAATCTTTTTTTTTAGCATTTTGGGGGCCATTTGGCATAGAAATATAATTTGAGTTTTTTGTAGAATGTAAACGTAGAACAAAATGGGAGGCTAGTGGTTCCCTTTTAACTCCTGTTTTATTAAATATCTCCTGCTTTCTGTATTGTCACCATCACAACTTTTTTAAAAACACTCAACGTGGGCTCTTTTTATTACATGTGTTTTGGCATTTTGAAAATATTTTGTTGAGGAACAATTTAGACACCATTAAATGCACAGATCTGAAGTGGACATTTTTTGTTTTGACAAATGCACAACCTGTGTGACCCAAAGGCCTGTGAAGTTGTCGAACATTTCTTCACCCAAGAAAATCCCCCCAGGCCCTCTCCAGTGAGTCCTTCCTCCCCACTGTCCAGAGACAACCAGCACTCCAATGTCGGCCTCTTAGCTTCGTGCTTCCTGTTCTTGGTCTTCATGTAAATGAAACCGCGTAGTGTGTACTCTTCTGTATTTAATTTCTTCATTCAAAGTCATGTCTCCTGGAGAACCTTTAGTTGTTGCTTGAACCAGCAGATAATTCCTTTTTATTGCTGAGGAGTATTTTGTTGTATGATTATTCCACAATATATTTATTTATCCTTTCTTCTGTGGGTGGATAGTTAAATTATTTCTAGTTATGGAATATAATGAATAAATATGCCATGAACATTTGCATGCCCGTCACATACTGGGCACTATTTCAACTGCTTCACCTGCTGCATCTCATTTAATCCCACAGTCAGACTCTGAAGTTGGACTATTGTTATCCCATTTTGCAGCCGAGATTATTCCCATGTGGATGATTAATTACACAGATGTTTCAGCTACTCAGTGGTAGACATTTGCACTTGAGCCTTCAGGCTCCACAAATCTTGCTAATAAACAGACACTGCTGAGTGATACAAGATGTTTCCATCAAATACCCTTATTGGCTTTGGAAGGTATTAATATTTATATAAGAAGAGTAACAAAGGTAAATATATTTTGTCTCCTCAGATTTCTTCCCAAGAATATGGAAAGGAAGTGGACATCTATGCTTTGGGGCTGATTCTCGCTGAACTTCTTCACATACCTGGCACCTATATGGAAAAAGACAGGGTAAGTAATCTCAAAGAAAGAACGAAACAACAAAAATTCTTGGTCATCACCTTCAAAGTCCTGTTGTAGTTATCGCCCTCATGTCAAGATGGGCTTGAATGAATTAGTACCTGATGGCCAATGCCATGTGAATTTTCCCTTTCAAGTTTTGGCAACCATTTTGTTAAGGACCAAAAATGTAGATCTTCTCTGGAAAGAGTGTACACCTGGTAAGCCTCCTATCTGAGTTGGTCAGTCAAATGTTACTAACCCATTGTTTTGTATAAGACATAGTGCTAAGAGTTATAAGGGTTTCAGAAATGAACAAGGCCAGGTGTGGCAGCTCACGCCTCTAATCCAAGCACCTTGGGAGGCCAAGGCAGGCAGGTCACTTGAGCCCAGGAGCTGGAGCCCAGGAGTGTTCACGCCACTGCACTCCAGCTTGGGTGATCAGAAAGACCCCAACTTAAAAAAAAGAACAAGCCTTGTTCTCAAGGAGCTTACTTCCTAAAGTGAAAATGATATAGGTCAATGCTGTAAGGGTTTCAGGGGAGGCATAAAGTCTATGGAAGCAGCTGGGAGGGAGTTCTTTCCAACTGTTGGGATTTGGGTTTCATGGAGGCAGGAAAGTTGGGCTGGAAGGACTGGTTGGCTTCTAAAAGTCCAAAGCAGAGAAGGCAATTCCAGCATGGAGACAGGGATGTGCAGAATGGAATTGAGAGCAGCAGGCAAGCATAGCTTTCCTGGAGTTTGTATGTTACAAGGAAGTGACGGCTGAAGGGGCTGGAAAGCCAGATGGGGTTAATTTGAGGACAGAATATGGGTTCCAGCAAGGATGAAGGGGATTATGCTGGAAGCAGGTTAAAAGATCATGTTGGAAGCAGGTTAAAAGATGGGAGTCAGCTGGGGCAAGAGAATCCTGCTTGCTGCTTGGCTACATAGAGACTTTTCAAAGTATCCTAAATATCCTAGTTCTGGGGGATCCTCAGTCTTTGTGCTTTCTGTTTGTTTTTCCTCCCAAGTAAATAATTTCCTAGCTGGGCAGAGTGGCTTATGGCTATAATCCCAGCACTTTGGGAGGCTCAGGTGGGAGGATCTCTTGAGGCCAGGAGCTTGAGACCAGTCTGGGCAACATAGCAAGACCTTGTTTCTACAAAAAATAAAACATTTACAAACTAATTTTTTAATAAGTATATTTTTTCCCCCAGATTTTCAGTCATCTAAAGAATGACATCTTCCCAGATGTATTTGATAGCAAAGAAGTAAGCACTTGATAATAATCAGAATTTTATTTATTTCAAATGTGTTTTATTTCTTAGTATTGACTCTCACTATTATTACAGAAAGCTCTTTTGAAGAAATTACTCTCAAAGAAACCCGAGGACCGACCTAACACATCTGAAATACTGAAAGCCTTGACCCTGTGGAAGAGTAGCCCACAGAAAGAGGAGAGAAACACACGTTAAGACCCTTCTGAAAAAGGATTCTGCTTCTGATACATGACTTTTCTTTATTTCCCTAAAATCTGCTATGGAACGTGAATAAGTATTTAACTTATTTTCATTTTTCCCCTTAATTGTTTACTGTATTTGCAGGAAGATTTTTATCTCTTTGTTTCAAAACGATTCATACATTTGACTTTTTCCTGGGTCATCTCTTTGTTCTAAAGATAGGAAAAGGTCTTAAATTTTATTCTTTACACTATTAGTGAATCAATCAATTCATCCATATTTGTTAAATGTCTACTCTTTCTGGGCCAAAAGCTGTAAGTTCTTTATCTGCCTAAAAGAGTTTATAAGCCAGTGGAGAAATATGGTAACCATAAAAAGATAAGTTACATACAACAACTTTGGAAAAACAATTTAGCATTATCTAGTAAAGTTGGAGCCATGTATGCCTGCAAAACCATCAATTCCATTCCTACATACATGCCTACAAGAATGTTCATAGAACCCCTGTTGATATTAGCCAAAATAACAGGAAACAACCAGATTGCCCATCAAAAGAAGAATGGAGTAAAAAAAATTATATTCACCCATTGGAATATTATAGAATACTGAAAAATAATGAATTACAGCCAAATGCAGTATTATAACACAATACCCCTCTCAGGAACATAATGGTAAGCTAACCAAACAGATTTCAGAAAATATATACAGAACAATTCCATTTATATAAACTTCTATAACATGCAAAACGAAGTGATTTTGTTTAAGAACCCAAACAAATGTGGTAAGACAATAAAAGAAAAGAATGAGAAATATTAACTTCTGGATAGCGGTTATCTCTGAAGGAGGGAGGGAAATGACATGATTGGGGAAGTGGACTTCAAAGGTGATGGTAACTTTTTTCTTAAACTAGATGTCGAGTCCACTAGTGTTTGCTGTATAGTTATTCTTTTCATCTTAAATACGTTTTACATTTATTATAACAAATGCTTTAAAGAAAAGATAATTGCAGTAGCAAAGGGCAGAACATAGACAGCCTGAAGGAGTGAGATTGGTTTCCACTGAGCACCAGGTTAGAAGTGACATTCCAAGGAGTCTTCAAGTATGTGAGGGGATTGGGATGAGTAGAGAGGAGATCACCCAGGCAGTCTGGGCAAGGGGCATGGCGTGAGTTCCAGAAAAAATATATTTGGGGTATACGGGAATATGCTAGTTTGTTGCCCTGAATTGCTGTGGGGATGGCAGAAGGTAATTTGGATTGCATCTTAGAAGATCCTGAGGGTTAATTTGAACTTTTTTTTTTTTTTTTTTTGAGTTGGAGTCTCACTCTGTCGTCCAGGCTGGAGTGCAGTGGCACACTCACGGCTACCCCAACATCAATCTGCTGGGCTCTGGCAATCCTTCCACTTCAGCCTTCCAAGTAGCCGGAACTACAGGCACACACTACCACGCCCGGCTAACTTTTTATTTATTGTAGAGATGAGGTCTCACCAAGTTGCCAGGGCTGCTGTCTTAGTTTGGTTTGTGTTGCTATAATGGAATACCTGAGACTGGATAATTTATAAAGAAAAGAGGCTTATTTGGCTCATAGTTCTGCGGCTGTACAAGAAGCATGGCGCCAGTATTTGCTTCTGGGGAGGGCCTCAGTCTGCTTCCACTCATGGCAGAAGGTGAAAGGGAGCCAGAGTGTGCAGAAATTCCATGGGGAGAGAGGAAGCAAGAGAGAATGAGGAGGTGTCAGGGCTTTTTAACAACGAGCTCTAGAGGGAACTAAGAACTCACTCCCTCTTCCTACCCTTCTGCCCACAAAGAGCATTAATCTTTTAATGGGGGATTTGCCCCCATGACTCAGACTCCTTCCATTGGGCCCCATCTCCAACACTGGGGATCAAATTTCAACATAAGTTTGAAACTATGGTAGCAACTGACTACCATTCTGAAACTGCCATGTGATTTGACAATTTTTTAAATCAGCCAAACTCAGGCTAAGCAGGAAATGAGAAAACTCACAACAAGAGAAAATGTTTTTATAGAAGCTTAGAGCTATTTTTCAAGTGTTCAGAAAAAGCAGTTAGCTGAGTGCGGTGGCTCACACCTGTAATCCCAGCACTTTGGGCGGTGGAGGCAAGAGGATTGTCTGAGCCCACGGGTTTGAGACCAGCTGGGCAACAGGGTGAGACTTGTCTCTACAATAAATTTAAAAATCAGCTGGGCATAGTGGCACATGCCTGTGGTTCCAACTAATTGGAAGGCTGAGGTGGAAAGATCACCTGAAGAGGTCAAGGCTGCGGTGGCTGTGAGCGTGCCACTGCACTCCAGCCCGGGGAACAGAGTGAGACTGCGACTCAAAAAAAAAAAGCAGTTAATACGCTTTTCAACTTGCAATACAGTATTTGGTCAAGACAAGGTTCATCAATGGATGCTAAAGCAGTCGACTGGATGAAAAAACATTGAACAACAGGATCTACATAAGATTTAAATATAATCCTACAGAGGATATACCATTATGAAGGGGAAATGTATGTTTCCAATGGAGAGATCTTGTGGTCACCACGATAATGAAGTGATTGAATTTAGTATCACCCAGGGTGGAACAACCTAACATTGTATCCATCCTGATGAGATATAAGAATCACACACTTCCACACTAGCCAGAGAGGCGTCCATACGGCATTGTTCTGGATTCCCATCGTAACTTTCACAATGTCCAGAGCCCTTGATGTCCTGCAAGTGGAGGATGTCCTCAGGTTCCTTGCACAGGAACTCACTGAGGTGACACCAACCTTGTCTTCCAAATAGAACAGCACATCTATAAAAGGAAGAGTGATGGCATCTACATTGTAAATCTGAAGAGGACCCGGCAGAAGCTTCTGCTGGCAGCTTGTGCCGTTGTTGCCATTGATGATGTCAGTGGCATGTCTTCCAGGAATACTGGCAGCGGACCCATCTGAGGTTGGCTGCTGCCGCTGGGGCCTTTTCTATTGCTGGCCGCTTTACTCCTGACACCTTCACAAATCAGATCCTGGCAGCCTTCCGAGAGCCCCGCCTTCTGGTGGTCATTGTTCCCAGGCTAACCACCAACCTCTCCCAGAGGTGTCTGATGGTAACCTGCCTATCATCGCTCTGGGTAATACAGATTCTCCTCTGTGCTATGTGGACATTGTCATCCCCTGTAACAACAAGGGGGCTCGCTCAGTGAGTCTGATGTGGTGGACGCTGGCTCAGGAATTCTGCACACACGTGGCACCATCTCTCGTGAACACCCGTGGGAGTTTATGCCTGATCCCTACTACTACAGAGATCCTGGAGAGATTGAAAGGGAAGGGCAGACTGCTGCTGAAAAAGCTGTGACCAAGGAGGACTTTCAAGGTGGTTTTACTTTCCCTTCATTTTAATATTTCTGTTATGTAGCATCACTTAGCGGTTTTTATCCATGAGTACACATTTTATTAGCCTTAAAAATATAGTAAATAAAAAGTATTCTCTTAACCAGAAAAGAGGGTCAAGAGCTAGGAACATTATTCTTTTACTACTTCACATGTGTAAGACTTTTTTTTTTTTTAACATAACGATACATTACGCCTAACGAAATTAACAATGATTCCTTTTTTTTTTTTTTTGAGTTGGAGTCTTACTCGTCACCCAGACTGTAGTGCAGTGACATGCTCATGGCCACCGCAGCCTCAACCTTCAGGGCTCAGGTCATCCTTCCACCTCAGCCTTCCAAGTAGCTGGAACTACAGGCATGTGCCACCACACCCAGCTAATTTCTTGATTTGTTGTAGAGACAAGGTCTTGCCAAGTTGCCTAGGCTGATCTTGAACAACTGGACTCAGGCAGTCCTTTCACCTCCACCTCCCAAAGTGCTGGGATACAGGCATGAACCACTGTGCCCAGTCTATATTCAGTTTCTTATCTCAAATTTTTTTACAAAAATCAACTGCTTAAATTATGATCCAATATTGCATTTGGTTAGTATGTCTCCTTTACTCTATCACATTTACCTCTGTGTTTTATTTTCTTCTTCTGGCCTTTTATTTGAAGAAGGATCTGGATTGTGTTTCCTGTAGAATTTTCTCCATTCAGGATTTGACTGACGGTATCCCCACGATGTGAAATTAGATCTAAAAGTGTGGTTTTATTTTGGTTCAGTTCTCCCCCCACACCACACCAAGAATACTCCATAGATGATGCTATATACTTTCTGTTGTATCATTTTAGGAGGAACATGATATCTGATTGTTCTACTTTCAGTGATTTTAAGAGTGATTAGTGGGTTCCATTGGTACCATCCACTGTAAAGCTTCTCATCAATCTTTCTCCTAGTGGTTTTAGCAGCCATGGATGATGTTGCCTGGATCCATTATTTCATTAAAGGATGTAAAACAGTGATTTTTCTGATTCTGCCAAACAACATGACATGTTAAAATTTGTTGTGAAGTTTCAGATTTCATATGCGTGTTCCAAAGCACTTATCATCTATTATTATTCTATAAAGAACTTTCTCTAAGGCTGGATGGAAAAGATGGGATAAACATTTGTTTATTAATATTCAGAATTAGTTAGTGCCCTAGCAATCTCCAAAGGTGACACATGAGTATTTTTTGAAAGCAGGAGTGTGGCCCAACTGGTACTTTGAGACAGTATGTTTAGAATGGAACAGGAAGAAACTATAGTATATTTGAAAGGTTAGGAGATTGAAAGACTGAACAATTCGAGGAAAAGGACCCAAGAGGGGTTAGGGATTAAGGTAAAGGTAAACACCAAAGATTACAGGATTGTTTGAAGGTGAGTAGCAGGTTTCTGGTGCTATTAGAAGAAATACAGGCCTCAGATGAACCTCCAGAGAGCCACACATATTTGAAAGGTATTTTATTTGTCTCCCATTTTTACCTGTTACACAGTTTTTAGTAATTTAGAATCTAAGCCAGTAGTGGGACCACTGTACGTCCATCAACATGGTGAGGTAGAGCACACGTGGGAGGATCCCATCTAAGGATGCCAAGTTTGAGATGATGCCAGAACATTCAGGGAAGATGGGAGGAGACTGTAGGAAATGTCTCCTTTTACATGTTGACTCTTTATCTCTGAATGACCATCTGGGCCTGAATGTCTGCAATTCTGATCTGTAATTATGACCTATCCTAACCCTACCTTTCCTCCAAATGGTCACAGATGAAAAGACCACAGTTGATCGACACACGGTGACACCACTACAGACTAAATTCTGGATAACTAGCAACTGGGCACTAGGCAAACTGTGAGGCAAATAAAATGCTTCTCAAATACGTGTGGCTCTTTGGGTATTTATTTGATTGAGACCTGTATTAATTTCTTATAGTCGCTGTAACGAGCAAATTGCCATGAGCTTGATGGCTTAAAACAACACACATTTAGTCTCTCTTACTGTTCTGAAGGCCAGAAGTGTACAATGAGTTTCACTGGGTTCAAGTTTGGGCAGGGCTGTGCCCCTCTGGAAGCTCCCATGATGCACCCGTTTCCTGAATAAACCCCTCCCAGAGTGGTCTGCAGTTTTACCTGAACAGTCTTTTGCATCAATGGCTCTCTCCTGTGGTTTCTACCCAAAATTCCCTTCAACTTTTTCTTTTAATAACAGCTTTATTGAGATATAATTCACATACCATATAATTCATCTATAAAGTATACCATTGAATGGTGTTTAATATATTCAGAGAATTGTGCAACCATCATCAAAATCAATTTTAAAACATTTTTCTTGACTGGGCGCGGTGGCTCAAGCCTGTAATCCCAGCACTTTGGGAGGCCGCAGCGAGAGGATTGCTTGAGTTCAGGGGTTTGAGACCAGCCTGGGCAACTTGGTGAGACTTCGTCTCTACAATAAATAAAAAAATTAGCCAGGCGTGGTAGCGCATGCCTGTAGTTCTGGCTGCTTGGAAGTCTGGGGCGGAAGGATCACTTGAGCCCAGTAGGTAATGAACATGCTACTGTGCTCCAGCCTGGCCAACAGAGTGAGACTCTGACTAAAAAAAAAAAAAACAAAACATTTTTCTCACCCCTAAAAGAAACCCTATACCTGTTAGTATTCACCCTACATTTTCTCCCAACTTTGGGCAACCACTAATCTACTTCATGACTCTACAGATTTGCTTATGACATTTAGTATAAATAGAATCAGATGTGTAGTCCTTTTCACTTAGTATTATATTTACAAGTTTCATCCATGTTGTAAAATGGGTGAAATCTTTTTTATTGCCATGCAATATTTTATTGTATGTATATATTTCATTTTATGCATCCATTCATCAATTGATGGACATTTGGGTTGCTTCCACTGTTTGGCTATAATAAATAATGTTACCATGAACACTCGTGTACAAGTTTTATGTGGACATGTTTTCACTTCTCTTGGGTGTGTGCCTAGGAAAATTGTTGGGTCATTTGGTAACTCTTTCTTCTAATTTTGCATTCCAGTCATGTTCAACTTTCGAAACCCAAATTCAGTGCTACTTGCATTTCACCATCTCCCACTTGAAATTCTTTCTAGTACTTCCAATGTTTAGTACCTCACTGTCTGTCCTGGAGCCAGGTCATTCCTGTATGGCTGTCTCCCTAATTGTGTTGTGAATTTTCAGAAAGCAGGGGCAGGCTCTTACTCTTGTATACTCCAAAGCAGTGGGTGCACTGCCCTGTAGAAAGCAGTAACTCTAAGTGCTTTTGAATTGGAGGGGAGGGTATAAAAGTTTTAAGAATTTCTTATGCTTGATCTTACAAAATGTGTCTAGTACTAAATAATAATAATGTTCAGTTTCAATTGCCAACAATTAAATGTTTGGCAAATACCACTTAAAGTAAATGTGTATAAGGGAAGCCAGTTTGGTATGTGAAAGAATTTACTTTGAATTTCTGAAGCTACAGTATTTTGGATTTTTCATTAAGAACATGAGAAATTTTAGAAATTTTAGGTAAGACTTTGAAAATAAATGTAGCACAATAGAAACAAAAATGACATGCTAAAATTTGTTTCAAAGTTACTAATTTCATCTGAATGTTCTAAAGCAAATTAAAAATTCTTTTCAATGTTTTGTTGCCCTCAGTTTTCATTATTGCCTAGTTATGAAGTCATAAAAGGCCTGTATGAGTAAAAATAAATTTCTACCCATATTGAAAGCCTTCCTATCTTTATATGTACCTATTTTAAAATTTATTTTTTTTTTGAGATATGGTTTCTCACAATGTTGCCTGGGCCGGTCTTGAACTCCTGGGCCCAGGGGTCCTCTTGCTTCAGCCTCCCGCAGCTAGCTGGAAATGTGTATTTTTAGCCTTAGATGGACAAGAACACAGGGTTATTTCCTACTCTAAGGCTGGTCTAGCCCTAGGCCTGCAAATGTAGACCACAATCCTGGTGAGGTGACAGGTTTCATTAACGTTATTCTCGTGTTCTCAGCATAACTGTCATGAACATATTCAAAATACGCTAGGACCCTGGGAAGATGGTGGGTTGTTCTTATAGGGAGTAAGAGGAGAAAGGGAAGCCAGGTTAGGCCTACATCCATTCCAACTGAAACTACCCACATGGCTTTGGGACTGACTGAATATTGGTATGTTGGCTGAAAGAACAGGACAGGATTTGACTGTAATTGCAAGGGAAAGATGTACTCCTTTGTTTTAGCTACTAATAAAATTTTATTTTTTAACAAAGTAAATATTAAACAATTTCCAACCATATAAGCTTAAATATTTTATATGCATATTTACATTCATAAAAATCATGAGCTTTCTGGATGAAGAACTGATTTGTGGTTCTCAAGCTCTACTGCATCTTATAATCAAGGGCAGTGATACCTAAGCCACAGCAACCCAATACATCAGAATCTCTGGGGGTGGGATCCCTGCATTATTTTTTAAAGCTCTTCAAGTGAATCTTGAGAACAAGTGAATTAACTCATACTAGGTCAGAGACTAGCACAAGTTGTACTACTGATTATCTTAACCTATGCAAGTGTACGTTACCTCTTGTTATTTCTTTTTTTTTTTTTTTTTTGAGTTAGTCTGACTCCGTCGCCAGTGGCATGCTCACAGCCACCCCAGCATTGACCCGCTGGGCTCTGGTGATCCTTCCACCTCAATCTTCCAAGTGGCTGGAACTACAGACACATGCCACCATGCCCGGCTAATTTTTGATTTATTGTAGAGACAAGGTCTCGCCAAGTTGCCCGGGCTGGTCTGGAACCCATGGGCTCAGGCAATCCACTTGCCTCGGCCTCCCAAAGTGCTGGGATGACCGGCTGAGCCACTGAGCCTGGCCAGCTCTTGATTTTCTGATGGACCCTGTTTCTAGTAAAAGGGAGGTTGATCTCTTGCTCAGTGCAACTGAAAGGTGAGCTGTAAAATCACAGGTGGTCGCAGCGTGCTTTCTATTTAACCTACAGCAGTAGCATACATCCTCAAGTGTTTATCAGACTCATTCTTGGGACTTTAAAATAAATACAGATATTCAGGAATTATGTTGGACTAGTTCAATCAAAAGCACTAAGAGAGCTACCTGAACATATGACCTTTAAAAAAGATTCATGAATTTGATGCCTGACCCAGGAAGGAGCTCTCTGGCAGCATGCCACACGGTACATCCTTAGTGGTATTCAGTTAAATTAGAGGGAAGCAGATTCCAGCTTAAGAGAGAAAACAATTTAAAAAATAATTTAGAGCTACCCAGTCATGGGTTGGTTTCAAAGCAGGAAGCTCTCTGTGGCTATAAGAATAAAGGCAGAGGTTGAATTATCACCTGCTGGGAATTTTGACAAGGGGTTTCTAAATTGGATTAAGTATTTGGATCACATGATATACATGTTGCCATGAAAACTCATGATTTTCTAAAACTAACTAGAATGCCATAGCATTAGTGGATCATTGCGTGTGACATAAATCTTATTGAGGGGAGTAATTTTTCCCTCCTCTGCATGCTTCAATGGAAAGAACTTTTTTTCTTTTTTGTAGACCGGGTCTTGTCATGTTGCCCAGGCTGGTCTTGAACTGCTGGTCTCATGAAATCTTTCTGCCTTGGCCTCCCAAAGTGCTGGGATTATAGGCGTGAGCCACCGCACTCAGTGGAAGGGAACTTCTCCTTGCTCCTTTGGAGAGACAAGCTCTCTGAATCCTTTCACTCCTTCCAATAAGAAAGAATTGTCTTATCTCATGGGTGATACTGAGAGAAGGAACCAAGCATGTGTGGCTCAGCCTCTGTTTGAGGTTGGTTTCTGATTCCCTAATCTTTTTTTTTTTTTTTTTTTTTTTTTGAGTTGGAGTCTCACTCTGTTGCCCAGACTGGAGTGCAGTGGCTGCTCCCGGCCACCACAACCTTGACCTGCTGGGCTCCAGCAATCCTTCTGCCTCAGCCTTCCAAGTAGCTGGAACTACAGGCACGCACTACCACGCCCGGCTAATTTTTTTTGATTTATTGTAGAGATGAGGTCTCGCCAAGTTGCCCAGGCGGGTCTCGAACCTGCAGGCTCAGGCAATCCACTCACCTCAGCCTCCCAAAGGCGCGGGATTACAGGCTGAGCCACTGAGCCCGGTGATTCCCTAATCTTGAAAGCGAACTGGTCTCAGAATACAGGCCCAACAAGACAGAGGCCTGCAGTCCTCTCCAATCAGAGAAAAACAGTAGGGAGTCTGATTTGGAGAAAATGTCAAACTTGTTCTCTATTCCAGCTTCAGCACTGATAGCTGACAGTCTTCTCTTCCTCTGACTCCCATGTCTTATTTCTCAATTTGTTCCCAAGTGAAGAGGGAATTAGAGTTCCCTGCTGGAGTCCTTAAACCCCAGAAGCTTCACAATACAGCCATAAATTGTAACTGCCTATAATATTTGTGTTCGGACATAACACTGCATTACTTTTTCAAATCAGTGAACAATTACATTCTAAAGTACAAATGATGTACTTTTAAAGTATAAAAAGAACAAAACATGATATAAAGGTCCTCTTTCTTTACTGGCATAAAAAAATTTGGGATTTCTAACTGCTGAACTGTCTGTCTCTAGGAAACATTAACATTTTTCAAGTTTCCACTTTATTGTGAATAATCTTAGTCATGATCTGCAGAAGTCGGTCCTGGGCAATTGGAAGATAGGTCTTCTTTATCTGTAATTTATGTGAAGGAAATAAAAGATTAGTGCAACTTTTATAGTAAAGTATTCTAGCAAGTTGTTTCAATATAATATGTACAGTGTTTTTGTTCTGCTGTGCTTATTACTTACTCTGCTAAACAAACCAGGGAACAATGAAAACAACAGTAACCGAAAATTCTTCACTTTCAAGTCCAAAGTTTTTAAATACAAATTAGCAAAGGCAACTTGGGCAAATGTGTTAGAAGGGGAGCACTTGGCTCTGTAAGACATATAGCCGGTTTTTTAAATTTGTATTTATTTTTTAGAGACAGGATCATGTTGTCACACAGGCTGCAGTGCAGCGGAGCAATCACAGCTCACGCAGCCTCAAACTCCTGGCTTAGGTGATCCTCCTGCCTCAGTATGAGCCACCACACCCAGCTACTTAAAAATTTTTTTTGTAGAGACAGAGTCTCACTATGTTGTTCAGGTTGATCTTGAACTCCTGGCCTCAAGTGATCCTCCCGTCTTGGCCTGCCAAAATGCTGGGATTACAGAAATGAGTCACCACTCCTGGCTTTGTATTCAGTATTTTTTAAAAGTATAAGGCATTTTCTTACCTTCATAAGCTGTTCCACACCAAATACAATACAGATGTTCTTCTCTTAGATAACTAGTCAGTATTTGTAATTTCTCCAGTACCTAGATACAGGACACAAGCACATTAATAGTTCACGTTGAACAGAAACTTGGTTTTCTTGCTCTCATATCATGCCGAATTAGCTCCAGGTTGTAAATCTTCTGCTATACTTTCTAACAGTTAATAGAGATGTCAAGGGCAGAAGTAATATGTTCAAGTATGTTCTAGTTTGCTAGCCACCTTGAATTTTCTCAAGTCTGCCCAGACACTAGAGAGATGACTTGTTAACATTAAGAACATAGTCTTTGGCTCGCTTTATTATAATCAGCATCCTTTAAAGACCCTCTCTACTTTCTTTTTTTTTTTGAGTTGGAGTCTCACTGGAGTGAGCCCAGACTGGAGTGCAGTGGCCACTCCCGGCCACTGCAGCCTCGACTTGCTGAGCTCCGGTGATCCTTCTGCCTCAGCCTTCCAAGTAGCTGGAACTACAGGTGAGCGCTACCATGCCCGGCTAATTTTTGATTTATTGTAGAGATGAGGTCTCTCCAAGTTGCCCAGGCGGGTCTCAAACCCGCAGGCTTAGGCAATCCACTCAGCTCAGCCTCCCAAGGTGTGGGAATACAGGCTGAGCCATGGAGCCCGGCTACCTCTCTACTTTCAAGGCATCTACCTCCCCCAGATAAGGTGAAGGTGAACACTGCCTCCTTTTGCCATAAAAGTTCTCATTGGTGGTCTCCCAGTTAAGTAGAACACAGGCTTTTCAATTGTGAATGTTTTCTACAAAATTCTTAACTTTTCAATTTTTCTGATCAGAGTCTCACTTTGTCGCCCAGTCTGAAGTACAGTGGTATAATCACAGCTCAAGACAGCCTCAACCTCCTAGGCTCAGGTGATCCTTCCATCCCAGCTTCCCAAGTAGGTGGGACTACAGGTGTGTGTCACCATGTGTGGCTAATTTTTTTTTTTTTTTGGTAGAAACGAGTTCTCATTATGTTGCCCAGGCTGATCTTGAACTCCTGGTCTCAAGCAATCCTCCCTCCTAGGCCTCCCAAAGTTATGGAATTATAGGCATGAACCATCATGTCCACCCCTTACAAAATTCTTATACTCAAGTAGTCACAGGACTTTCTCAAATAATTTCATCTCCTTTTTTATGTTTTGTAAGTTTTGTTTTGTTTATGAGAGGAGGAAGCAAGTACATATTAGAATCACTTCCAAAAGTTTAACAAGAAATAATGCATAAGTTAAAATGATTTACACTTACAGTTATTCCATCCTCCAAACAGAAGTGGAGGTTAGAGGGTAAATGGAAGCCAAAGGGAAAAGTTACATGAAAGGATAACTTTCATAAAACTGGATTTGGGGTTCATAAAATAATACTGTAATACAGCAGACGTCAACCAGGGTGGCTTTTCCCCTCAATGGATGTTTAGCAATGTCCAGAGACATCTTTGGTTGTCACAGGGGGATATGCAACTGGTGTCTGGTGGGCAGAGGCCAGGGATGTGCTAAACATCATATAACGCATAGGACAGTCCCCCACAACAAAGGGGTAATCCAGTTCACAGCATTAGCAATACCAAGGCTGAGATACCCTACAATGAAGGAAATGGTGCCAAAACATACACTTAAGTCTTCACTCTTATATTCGTCTTCATCCTCTTCTTTTTCTTCCTCCTCTTCTTCCTCAGTTTCCTCTTCAGGCCTCAACCAGTACCATGCCTCCCTGGGAACCTGAATATTCTACAAACACAAAATTAGTCTCAATTAAACATAGCCAAATATAAGACTATCCATCCTTTCAGTATTTACTGAGTACTGCTGTCAGAGTAACAGCACTGTACCATGAACTATGGGGATACTAAGTCCAATTAGAGTATTATCTTCAGATTGTTCCTGACAGCCTAGCAGGAAAGATGAGCTGTGGGAGTGAACTACTACCCAAAAGCTAGGAAATCTTAAGAGCCATGGAATACATTCAAATTAAAGTACTAATAAATATAAAAAAGCAAGAGATTGCTTTCAGTAATCCATTTATATGTATATGATGAAATTTTACAAACATTTTCAAGACTCCAAATGAGGTCATTTTATTTTTATAGTACTTGAACCCCTAAGATAAAAGCAAAGAGAATTTTTTTAAACCATTCAGATCTGAAACAGACATAATTCCACCTTGATTTTACTAGTTAAACATATGTAAGGTATGAGTATGAATTGAAAATAGGCTATTGTGATTAATCAAATATTATGCAGAATAGAATTTCTGCACATACTAGTCATTAGTAATCAATATTCTAGCAAGCAGAGAACGATTTAGTGTAAAAATGTTATTTAACCATTAGTGGATAATTCAGACAAGCCATGTTCCTGCAGTAAATAAGCCATTATTGTAGCAATTATCACCAATCACATTAGACAAAAGCTTTAAAGGGTAGAAGGCTAGATAAACCAGGCTAGGAGTTCTGTTTGTGTTTTTTGTTTTTTTCTGCATGACAAGAGTCGTTACTTTTTTTTTTTTTTGAGTCGGAGT